TTTCTGCTATTGCAACTGTTTTGGTTTGTAATTCGATTGCTTGGGCTTCGTCTCGTGGATTGGAAATGACATTTGTTGATTCTTAAGTTTGTATTTTTGTTATGTTTCACTTGATTTATTGTGTGCTCTTAATTTCGCATTCATGGAGAACAGAGTTTATGATGATGAGGAAGAGTGGTTTAGAACAATTTTCGCAAATTCCAAAAAGGAAGATGCCATTCAAAACCAATATGAGTTCTTTGTACAAAGAATGGGAGGACCTCCATTGTTCAGCCAAAGAAGAGGTACCTCCCTTGAACTTTGAAGTATCTCATGCTATTGCAATCGTGGATACGGTTTTTCGTGTAATATCTTTGCTCAATAAATTTTCAGTATCTCTCATGCCATGATAGCACTTTCCGCAAGGTGATAGTTTCCGAGTGGTGCCATTGTGAACGTTTTGGAGATGTGCTCATTATCAAACATTTTATTGGTTTAGAACGAGTAGCAGTTGCTATGTACAACTTTTAACAGTCAGAAAATTGTTTCTTTTGAGAAGTGTGTAGCATTGAGATTTAGTTGTTTTTTATTTTGTATTCTAATTTTTCTTATGATGGGAAGTGAGGCGTTCTGGTTCCAGAACTTTGTACTTGGTTTCTCTGCATTAGTCATATTCATGGATGGCATTATCTTATATATGTAACTTCCCAAGAAATTGTTTGTATTTATATTCATCTCCTGTACATGACATGAATTTTGAACAAAGTTGGCGTGCCGTTGGTTTTGCTTCTCAAGGCATTCATTTTCACCCCTGCTTCGAACTCCTTGCTAACGAGCTGTAAAAACCAGACAAATTGGGTTTTCCGTATTTGTTTTATCTAGAGGTCCTAGAGATTTTCTTTAATTAGAAATGCATATGATAATGATTATTCTTGGATCTTACAAAATTCTGAATTTTCTTTTAACTACATCTCTTATCAAATCAAATATTCAAGTTATCATATTATTGAAACCAAGTCTGCTGGGATTTTTTAACAGGCCATCCTGCTTTGATTGCACGCCATCGCCCGTTCTCTGTCACTCACCTGGCTGCAGAGAGGTGGTTGCACCACATGCAGCAAGCGTTGGACACCACTTCAGATATTGATCCCGACTCCAAAACCAAAATGATGAATTTTTTCAGGTGTGAAGTCTATGTCTTGTATCTTTTTTAACACATGAAAATCACTGCGAGGCCTATCTGACAATTTAGACGTTTATACTTCTAGTCAAACAAAAGTGTCAACGGCGAATTCCACATTTTTCAAAACAATAAAAAGCAGTTTTTTTCTTTTTTTT